ATGTTCACCGTCTTCACTTGTGGGGGGAACCTCTTCTGTCCTCCCGTGTTCAGCCACCGGGGCTCCTCCTCGTCATCACTATGCAGCCCCTTGTCCTTGTTTTCGGCATTCAACTTGCCAGCCTGCTTGAACACCCAGCATTCTCTGTTGGTGTGATTGGCTGGCTTATCGGGGGTGTCGTGGATTTGACACGAGTGATCAAGTATGCGATCCAAACTAGACGGGCCCGAAGTACTTCATTTGAATGGCTTTTTCCGCTGACCGGATCTAGAGCCTCTGAATCCGGCATTGACTGCCGTATCTTTGGCGTTATCGCCGTTGTTGCGGCGCTTGTGTCTGTTACGACGTGGTCTGCCGTTGGCATCTTTAGTATCTGAAGTGCACGGATTCCTTGATGTGTTGTTGCTGCGAGCCAGCCAGCTATCCTCGCCTGCGCAAAAGCGGGTCATGAGTGTCGTGAGGGCTGCCATAGACTTCGGCTTCTCCTGGCCGAGGTGCCGGGCGAGCCACTCATCACGGATGTTATGCTTGAATGCCGCTAAGGCCTCTGCATCCAGATAGTCGACAATTTGGTTGTTCTTAGTTAGGAACCGTGTCCAGAATTGCCTGGTCGATTCCCCTGGCTGCTGAGTTATATGGCTCAAGTCATCATCATCCGGTGGTCGCACATAAGTGCCTTGGATGTTGTCATGGAATGCATCTTCCAAATGCTCCCAACTGCCAATGGAGTTTGCTGGCAAGCTATTCAGCCAATGCCGAGCTGGTCCTTTGAGTTTTAGTGGGAGGTACTTGATGGCATGTAGATCATCACCGCGAGCCATGTGGATGTGGAGGAGGAAATCCTCAATCCATACCGCGGGATCTGTTGTACCATCGTACGATTCAATGTTTACGGGTTCAAAACCCTTCGGGAATTCGTGATCCATAACTTCATCAGTGAAGCATAGGGGGTGTGCAGCGCCTCTGTGCCGGGCTATATCACGATGCAGTTCATATGAGTCTTGTTTGCTGTATTCGGCCCGGCCGGATTTACTTTTAGTGTATTCGGCGTGACGGTCATCGTCCCACGTTGGTGCGCGCCCCCGTGACCCGTATATCGATCTTGCATGTTTTGCCCTGCTTTCCAATACGTCTCGCAGGTCCCGCGTGTTGCCCCGGGCCTTGGTATTTTTGTTTGAGTGGCGGCGGGGTGCAGGCTGAAACGCCTCTCTGTCTCGGCCACGATGTGGCCGGTCCGCCGCATCATACGTCGGTGATGTAGGTTTCAATGCTTCCTCCTCGAGTCAGGGTAGCAACTTGCGCTTTGGGTAACTCTTGGAGGGGCGTTCGAGTTCATATTCATCGGCCGCAAGGACTTCGGTCCATCTGTCTGCTAGCAAATCTTGATCAGCTCAAAGCTGTTGTTGCTTTTTCTTTAGACTATTTGCTGTGGCTATAAGCCGACGCTTGAAGCGCTCCTGCTCGATGGGATCCTCAGGCACGATGAATTCTTTGTCGCTGAGGCTCACCTCGTCTTCGGAGAGAGGCATGTAATTGTCATCCTCCGTTTCTCCATCTGCTGCTTGTTCTGGAGGGCTAGCTTGTTCACCCTCCCGATCTAAATCATGCTGGAGGGGATTGTTGTCTTCGGCACTATCCAGAGTGTTATTGTCTCTTGTGCCGGTATCGCTACTTTTGCTATGGCGGGACTTAGAGCGGCGCCGCTGACGTCGATGCTTGGGTTGCTTCTTGGTGGGGTCATCCTCCACTATCTTGTCGCCATTGCCTTCTTTGGGGGTATCCACCATATATATATCATATGATGAGGTGGCGGTCCAGTGCCCTGTGGGCGGTGGTTCCTGTTCGTCTCCTGCATCGTCGTCCATGCCGTCGATGTCTTCAGAGTCGAAGTCGAGCATGTCGGTTAAATCGTCAACAGTGGCTATTAAGTGGGTGGTGGGTGGGGAGCGAATTTCTTCGTCGTCCGCATCCCATTCTAGCCGGACATAGTTTGGCCAAGGTTCTCCTGACAAGGAGAGAGACCTTAATGAATTTAGCACGTCGCCGAAAGGCGAGTGTTGAAAGATATTCGCGGAGGTAAACTCCATGATCGGCGCCCAATCGGATTCGATAGGCACGGACGCAGGCGGCTTGGAGTCCGTGGCCGGAGATGAATCCAGTGGTTCGGCAACACAGCTCTCGTAAGAGGTGAAGTCAGTATCCGGCTCCATCGCCACTGAGAGTGCGGCCTCCATGGCGGGGTCTATCCACCCATCCTTGGATGGCGCAATTTGCTCCGGATTGAGGGCCGGAGTAGTTGCAGGTGTGATCTCCCAAACACTGTCCGACGGCAGAGCTAAATCATGCTCGTCGTGATCGTGCGGCGCACCTGACATGGGCTCGAATCCGTCGAAGATCATGTCTCCGCAGATGTCGGCAATGTAATTCAAGTTTCCGAACCTGACCTGGTGGCTAGGGGCGTAGCTCTCGATCTGCTCCAGATGGCCAAGCGAGTTGGCCCGCAGTGCGAAGCCGCCGAATACGAAGATCTGTCCGGGGAGGAAAACCTCACCCTGGACCGCATCGTTACCAATGGTCGAAGGAGCCATAAAGCCTTACGGTGATGACACGGTGGAACTCTCAATGAAAGCACCAATCTCGATGTCAAAACCGGCGGATCTCGGGTAGGGGGTCCCGAACTGTGCGTCTAAGGCGGATGGTAACATGAGGCGGGGGACACGATGTTTACCCAGGTTCGGGCCCTCTCGATGGAGGTAATACCCTACTTCCTGCTTGATTGATATTGATGATATGAGTATTACAAGAGTTGATCTACCACGAGATCGTAGAGGCTAAACCCTAGAAGCTAGCCTATGGTATGATTGTTGTTGTCCTACGGACTAAACCCTCCGGTTTATATAGACACCGGAGGGGGCTAGGGTTACACAGAGTCGGTTACAAGGAAGGAGATCTACATATCCGTATTGCCAAGCTTGCCTTCCACACCAAGGAGAGTTTCGTCCGGACACGGGACGAAGTCTTCAATCTTGTATCTTCATAGTCCAATAGTCCGGCCAAAGGATATAGTCGGCTGTCCGGAGACCCCCTAATCCAGGACTCCCTCATTTTCTTTTGAGACATTCGATGTAATAAGTGTGTGATTGGAACTCTGTTATAAATCCTTCAAGTACTGTGTGTGTCAGCATTACCGATCCAGGGATGACATTTATACATAGAGATTTGACCGTCTGAGGTCGGATCGCTACACCAAATCAGATAACTCATATAATACAAAATCGTCATCGAACATTAAGCGTGCGGACCCTACGGGTTCGAGAACTATATAGACATGACCGAGACACTTCTCCATTCAATAACCAATCACGGAACCTGGATGCTCATATTGGTTCCTACATATTCTACGAAGATCTTTATCGGTCGAACCGTAATGAAAACATATGTTATTCCCTTTGTCATCGGTATGTTACTTGCCCGAGATTCGATCATCGGTATCTTCATACCTAGTTCAATCTCGTTACCGGCAAGTCTCTTTACTCGTTCCGTAATACATCATCCCGCAACTAACTTATTAGTCACATTGCTTGCAAGGCTTCTTATGATGTGTATTGCCGAGAGGGCCTAGAGATACCTCTCCGATATTTGGAGTGACAAATCCTAATCTCGATCTATGCCAACCCAACAAACACCTTCGAAGATACCTGTAGAGCATCTCGATAATCACCCAGTTACGTTGTGACGTTTGATAGCACATAAGGTATTACTCCGGTATCCGGGAGTTGCATAATCTCATAGTCAAAGGAATATATATATATATATATGTGTGTGTGTGTGTGTGTGTGTGTGTGTGTGTGTGTGTGTGTGTGACATAAAGAAAGCAATAGCAATAAAACTGAACGATCAACATGCAAATCTAACGGATGGCTCTTGTTCATCACATCATTCTCCTAATGATGTGATCCCGTTCATCAAATGACAACACATGTCCATGGCTAGAAAACTTAACCATCTTTGATTAAAGAGCTAGTCTAGTAGAGGCTCACTAGGGACACGATATTTTGTCTATGTATCCACACATGTATCAAGTTTCCAGTTAATACAATTCTAGCATGAATAATAAACATTTATCATGATATAAGGAAATATAAAATAACAACTTTATTATTGCCTCTAGGGTATATTTCCTTCATCTACTTCACTCAACTCTCTTGCATTCTGTCGAACACCTCATGGGCGCAATTTGAGGTCTGACCGGTCACTGTCTTGGTGAACGTATAGTGCACCGGATCTGGTAATCATGGTTGTAGATGCTCTAAAACTTTGATTAATCCGAAACAGAAAGGGATAAAATCAGTAGAAATCTGTTTTTTTTTTCTCTCAAACAAGTCTTTTGGCATTGGCTGCGGGTTGTAAAACAAAATTAATCAAAAATCATACTCCCTTTGTAAGTGATTTAAACGCTATTATATTTCTTTACGGGGGGAGTAGTTTTGTTCTGCGTGAAAATTACATTTTTATTAAAATATTTTGTATCCATGTACAAGATGCAAAATCACATTGCGGCAAGTGAGATCCTTTCAAAAAAAAACATTGCGGCAAGTGAGTTGAGTGTGAACTCCTTTGTGGTGAGCGAACCTCTTCTTCCTCCTCGCCGCATCTCTCTCTTCCCATCCAGCCGCCCGCCGAGAGACACAGCACAAATCCACACTCGGTACTACTAGTCCACAGCACAAATCCAATGCATCCACCAAATCCAAGCTGCCCATCGATTTCAGCACGCCGGAGGGGAATCGAGGAGGAGCTGGGGGGGGGAGTCGTCGGATCCGTCGAGTTGGCCGCGCGGCGGAGGCAGCGCTCCCCGTCCCGTCCAGATCGGCAGCCACGCGCCGGAGGTGGGTGGGGGAGCAGAGCGCCGGAGGAGCCGCGGCATCGGAACAGGAGGCCGCCGCTCGATTGATTCTACCTAGGGTTTCAGCCAATCGGCCGGCCCCGAAATCCCCAGCATGGAGTCGCCGCCGCCGCCCAAGTTCGTCGCCGGCCAAGATCGCGAGGACAGAATCAGCGCGCTCCCCGACCACCTCCTCCTCGACATCCTCGAGCGCCTCGACCTGCGCGAGGCCGTCCGCGCCGGCGCGCTCTCGACGCGGTGGCGGCGCCTCCCCAAGCACCTCTCGCGCGTGCACCTCAACGTCGGTCAATTCCAGGGCGTCGTGCCGCTCGAGGCCATGGACGCCTTCACGAGCGCCGCACGGGCCTTGCTGAATGTGGTCGAGGGCCAGTGCGAGCGTGGTGCCCTCAAGGTCCTCAGCCTCAGCTTCTACATCTCTTCCCCTCACTTGAGCTCCATAGGCCGCCTCGTCGTGGACGTCGTGAGCTTGGGCCAGACCCAATGCCTTGAGTTCTGCGTGTTACTGCCGCCCTCCAGCAACACCATCCCACTGCTCGCCGAGAATGGGCAGCAGTTCATGTCCTTCTCCCGTGCCTATCCAGTCGCCTTCTCGTGGCTCACCAGGCTTACACTCAAGAAACTTGTGTTTGGACATTCGGACGTCACCGACCTCATTACCGCTTGCGGTAGGCTCAGGCATCTCTACCTCAGCTTCTGCAGACTAGCTGATCCGTTCTCCGCGCTCAAGATCGACGTGCCGCGCTCTGGGATCCAGGAGCTCGAGTTCTCCTTCGTTGGGTGCACGGGAATTGAGCTCATTTCTGTCCCTAAGCTTAGGCGAGTGGGGTGCCAAAATTGGATCTTTGAGAACCCTCCAGTGTGCTTCGGCTACGTTCCTGAGCTTTGTGTTGTACAACTCTTTTCTAAAGCTAAGGAATGGCAGGTGCCATTCGCGCTGAGCGAGTGCCTGTCAAGGACAGGGAGTGCAATGAACCTGTCAGAATTGTATCTCGATTTTTTGCACCAAATGGTAAAGCTAATTTCTGCATACCACTCAAATATCTTCTGCATCAACATACCATATGTTCTTCTCTACCAATTTCAGCTGTGTATTTATGTTCTTGCTGCAGATTTGGATTCAGCCTGAACATCCGAAGCAGCTCACTGCTATATTCAAAAGCCTCACCTCTGTGTTTCTTTTGGGTATCTTCAGTGAGTGTGATCTGAACTGGACATTGTTTATCCTTGAAGCTGCACCTGCCCTACAGGATATTGCAGTAAGTGTTACTTAGCCTTCTTTTTAATTTAGTCCAAATCTTAGCATGTACATGTCTCATTCTACATTTTTACAATGATATGCTTTTCTGATATACAGCATTAAAAATATAGCAGAAAGTTGATCTAATTTCCGACCACTCACCTACGAAAAGTAGCGCATAGAAGACGCATTGTAATTTTGCAGCAAGACAATGTCCATGCACGACCCAGAAAAAAACCCTGCCGGATCGTATCTCATGTTAGAGTTCTCCAAAAATTCATCCTATGTTTTTTTTGAGGAAAGCCCTGGCCTCTGCATCGAGTGATGCACATAGCCCACTTGAGTCTTGATTAAAATTGTTTATTACAAAGTATCTTGGTCTATAGAAATAGTAGGAATACAGTTGTAGCTTGATAAGAACCACGGAAGAATATTCATGTGTCATACTTTACCTAGGATTTAATTCATGTAAATTCCTCCAAAACTCTAGGGGCCTCAACTTATATTTACTTGCAATTGTTGTCACGCTGTCCTTCATGGGTTGGTGGCAAGTTTAATTAACATGTGTTATTTACTTTCTATGTCCTTGCTTGAAGTTATCTCGACATTCATGTATCAAGACTCCCGAGAACAGTGCCGAGAAGAGGAACGTGGTGTGGGAGCCATCCAAGGATTTGAAGCACCTGAACTTGAGGGTGCTGCTGATCCAAGGGTGCGAGGATGAAGACAAGGTGACTAACTATGCAAGGCTAGTCATGGAACGAGCTGTGGGGCTGAAGAGAATCCTCTTGTGTGATCAACTCCCATGCGAGGACTGCAATGCCATCAACCCAGAGCCTTCCCTGAGAAGATCCCAGGTTGATGAAGCTAGCAGGCATCGGATTAAGGAGCGACTCACACTCTTCCGTGGACATAATAATCTGTTGATGGGTATAGTCATGGAATGGTCAATCGCACAACGCCTGCAGCTGCTAGAGTGATGACTCTGTATGAGGCGGAGTCGGTCGTAATCTTAACTTTTAGTTATCTGTAATGAGGAAATACTTAATTCGCAGTTTAGGTTAATTATGTGTGCACTGCAATCTTGATGCATGCTTTTCGTTATCAATGTACTGGGAAATTGCCTAGTGTATGCTGATCTGTTTACCTACTGTGGGCATCATTCAAATTCTCAGACCTGTTGAGGCCTTGTCATCTTTTCAGAATGTGTCTTTGGAAACCTTGCCTAGGCCCAGAGTGTGTCTTTGGGAAGCCTTGTGGCAACTAGGATTTGCCTTCTGAATTTTTCTACTGTCAATACTAGCATCTGAGTGAAGTGAGGTTGAACGTGGTGACAGTGTAGAGAAAATATTTCTGCACCTTTTTTCCCCGGCATTCATATTACTCGAGTGTTGTATTTTCATGCTTGGCCTTCAGAAGCAGGCCTCCAGAAGCTCCAGTGCATAGCGGACGGCTAAAGCGTGCGGAGAATGTCAAGAGAGGGCGGGGTCGACCGATTCTGACATGGGAGGAGTCCGTTAAGAGAGACCTGAAGGATTGGAGTATCGACAAAGAGCTAGCTATGGACAGGGGTGCGTGGAAGCTTGCTATCCATGTGCCAGAGCCATGAGTTGGTTGCGAGATCTTATGAGTTTCACCTCTAGCCTACCCCAACTTGTTTGGGACTAAAAGCTTTGTTGTTGTTGTTGTTGTATTTTCATGCTTGGCCTTCCAATGTATGTACTTATAATATCAGTGAACATCTCTCTGAACAGGGTGCAAATTATATGTAGACTGTCACATCGGTCGGTCATGAAACTGGAGCAGGGGAAGCGAGAAAGTTGCAGTCGGTGCATTCACTTGTTTGACGACACAGTATTTGTGCTGATTCAGAACTTTGATAAACAACCGAACAATGGACTACAAGTCCCAGGCTCATCATGTGTCCAACTTCTTCACAAGAAGAAAAGGCTGGCTTTGTATTCTACTCCAACCAGCAGTCCAAGCCGCATACTACACAGTCTGACCTGCAGAGAGGGATGTGCCGGTCCTGGAGGTCTATCGTGTGGCTTTGCTGCAGTGCGCATGGCTGCATGCGTGCGGCTGCGTGAGTGAGGTCGCAGGTGCTCAATTTCGAATTTTGAACACGCTGATTGCCTTGATTTCGTTCTGCAGAAACATGACCTGTAGGCAAACCATGAGTCCCCCAAACTACTGTAGCTCAACTGTCAATTAGGCAAGTTCAGAAAATTTTCTTTAGTGACGCAACCATAAAAAAATACCCGAAGAATTCTAAAGAGACAAATTTTAGCATGCTCCCTTTTACCTTCCCTTTTCACATGAGATAAGAATTCATAATAGATCTGAGCCATTGATTTGATTAAGTAGTGGTCAGATTTACTCTTACCTTCTTACCTCTCATGTGAAAAGAGAGGGTAAGAGGAAGCATGTTAAAAGTACTCGAAGATTGATTCGCTCAAACCTATCCACACCATTCCTGATGTGAATTCTCGGCTTGTTTTAGCGTTCTAGCAGCGGACACGTTTCTGATCTGAAGAATTCTTGCTTGGAGACCAGTTAAGCTCTCCTTTGGGTCGGAAGCGAACAAACGCAAGAGGCGGCATGGTTTCTATGGACAAAGAGAATTCTGAGAGAACAAGCTGCTCTCCTGTCTCGCACGACCGCTCTATATATAAAACTTAACTAGCTACTCCCTCTCTAAACTAATATAAGAGTGTTTAGATAACTAAAATAGTGATCTAAACGCTCATATATTAGTTTACGGAGGGAGTAGATGTTAATGTTAATGATTTTTTTGTTTTTCTTAATTATATATATATTTTTAGTTTATATAAATGTTAGATTAATGTCAACTGTTAGATGAATTAGATAGAAATACATGTTAGATATTAATGTCAAATGTTAGATGAATATTAGAATTAGTTAGATATTAATTAATATTAGATAGTAGGTGTTTAATGTTTCACCTATATGAACATAGGAAATTTCGTCTGAGGATGAAAAAGATTTCATTATGTGCGAACACTGCGAAGACCAACGCGGCCTGTGCGACAGAAATTTCCTTGTTGATAATAGGCGCTTCAGCATCAAGCTGGATGAGACATTCGAAGTGGATACAGTAATTCACAACGGCAAGTATTTTTTCGTAATAAAGCATGACTTATACTTCATTTGCTTGAACTAATAATTTTAAAATTTCACTATTCTACTAGCGCATCCCCTGCCATGCTCGAATTTTTGTCTTGGATAAGATAGGTTTCAGTGCGATGAATGATATGGAGGTAAAGAGAGTTTACTTAAAGACCAAGCATGAGTATATTTTCAACGTCAAATTATACAATGCAGACACATACACACATTTTGAATGCAAAACTTGGCAAGCACTATGCAAGGCTTATGCATTTGAGCCTGATATGGTTATCACCTTTAGTATTCGTCCGGAAGATGATATTGAAGGTAATAGAGACATCTGGGTCGATGTTCAGACGCCTCCAGTTCTACCATTATGTGAGTTTTTCTCAACCATGTTTATGTTTTTGATATTGTTTATTCAAAAATAGTTGACAACTAATTTCTATTGTCAGCTTATTTCGGTTCAAGCAAACATGTCTGGCGCTTGGTAGACATGACCTATTATTGTCCCGGGGCTGAACTAAACTGCGAGAAGATAAGTCATTATGTTTCATGGCTTGAGGATCTTCATACTGTCAAGACAAATTTTCTTCCTGCACCTAGAAATGTTAGTACTCAAAACGTGCAACCAATAGTGATCGTATTGAACTACGGTCACATCTATAATAGAAAGATGGTAAGATTTTTACTATTTTTCCTTAATGCATCTTTTGCATACATTATTTTTGAAGCTAAACTTTCATTGCTAAGTATATTAATTATTATACGATGTTTTTCAACAGGGATTCCCGATGACAGTTGTGCTTCAGTGGATCGAGACAAAATGTCGCATGTCAATGGTTAGCTTACGACCAAGATATCCTACATTGCACATGAGTGCATTCAGGATTTCTGAAAGCGATGAATGCTTAATAGTGAAAGATTGGAGCAAAATTGTTAACGATCTCAGAGAAGTACTAGGGGGCAGCAAGGAGAAGCGCATCCCACTATTAGGAGACAGATTCATCTGCATGCTCCAGTATGATGAATCAGGAGAGCTATACATGTTCTATGCTATTTTACCTGAGAGGGAGCAGCAGGAGTGATTTAGCTAGTTCATGCTCTTAGTACTTGTCCTCTCATGTCCGTATTCTCGTCCTGAACTTAATTAATCTCAAATAGTGATTTGCTTGTGAACGCTTATAATATCATGACCATGTTGAACTCGATGATATCTTTGCTTCTGTTACAAGTGAATGTTTCTTCTTTAACCTAGTGTTGGTGGTGATTAGATAGCGTTAATGACTATGATGATTAAATAGTGGTAATGATGACTACGATGATTTTTAGCTAGCTAGTATATATATACTGTTGTTGGTGATGATATGATGCAAGAGTTTATTTATATATTAATATGTGATGATGATGATGATGAGTTATTATATATATCATTTATGAAAAAATCACAAATTAGTTTGAACTGGATGGATCCTAGCTAAGTGATCAAGTATATATATATATATGCCATATCCATATTACTTGATCACTTAGGTGATCAAGTAATATATATGGATATATGGCATATACTTGATCACTCAGCTAGCTATAGGATCCACATATGCATCCAGTCGAAACTAATCTGCGGTACTTTCACCTAATGATTTAACAACTCATTATAACGTAAAACAATCCTAAATTAAATTGATAACACAAATTTAAAGGAAAAATAAAAAATAAAACCAAAACCCACAAACATTTAGTACCGGTTGGTGTTACCAACCGGTACTAATGATCTACCGCACCCGTGGCCTGGCTCGTGCCATGTGGTGGCACTTTAGCCACGGGTGCACTAGGCGGCATGGTTTACCGGCACTAAAGGGGGGCTTAACCGGCACTAAAGGCCTTTACGAACCGGGACTAAAGCCTGATCAAGGATCTTGAGTTTTCACCCTGAAAAAAGTACTATATCCGAAAACAATGCCTTCAGCAAGGCCATTGGGCTTTCACCCTGGAAATCACAACTCGGTACTCAAGAGCACCACCAGAAATGTTTTCCACTTGTATTGCCGCCCCACTTGCCAAAGCCGCTGCTGCAAGTACTCAACACCCGACACACAGGAAAGACCCGTGCCATCATTTTTCAACGCAACCAAAAATCCTCTTCGCCATTACCAGTCTTCGATCGCAGCCACCATGACTTTGTTCACCTCTGTCAACACCGTGGAAATCTATACCTAGACATGTCCCACAGCACCGGCAAGACAGCGAAGCTGCTCATCACGCCCTCATGAAGTCTCTCTGGCCGAACATGAGGGTGTGTACGACCAGGTCAATTTCGATAGCTATCCAGTGGCACCATGTGCCAAAAGCTAAGATCTCCGAAAGGAAGACTAGAACCCGTCGGTGTTTAGATCAAGGAGGGCCGTCATGCAGCAGATCAAAATTTTGGAGCTCGAAGAAACAATAGGGCCAACCACCATGGAGCTCCCCTGGATCCCGACTGGCCAGATCTACATAGTGTCGCCCTGCATCCTACCGTAGCCACCATGCAACCGCTCGAGTAGGTGTAGAGCAGCACCACGCCGAAGCATGGCCCACCAGTCACCGGCCCGCGCCGTGCGGCCCCACTGCGCCTGTAGGTCAAATCCGGCCACCGCAGCAAACAAGCACCACCGCCACAAACTCCCCCACGCCGCCACAACACCCACACAGACATCCACGCCGGCGAGCCGCCACGCCCCGTCAACCTTCACCAGTGCCACGCCCATGCCCAAGAAGGCCGCCCGCATCGCCCCATCGTGCTAGGGGAAGAAGACGCCCCGCCGTCGCCTGTGCCGGTTGGGCTTCGCCTCGCTGCGCCCTTGGGCGG